TGAGTGTCTTTGGCCTTACCAGCGTTGCTTTATCTCAGGCTAATTTTGGAGTTTGGAGTAAAGTACTTCAGTAGTATTTACTTCAGAAGGCTTTAATTCTGCAAATTAACAGATCTCTGTTCTGAGTAACCTTTATGATCTAATCCAAGTTTATTTTTGCTCTGCCTCTTTTTCTCTCAGAGGATGGAGAGGGAATACAACTGCCCCTGTGTGATGGGAAAACCCAAAGTAGCTTTCAGAGAGACGATCACCAGTCCCATACCGTACGTCCTGATAGTCTTTGTCCTTACGCACACACACAAGCACACGCACACACACAAGCACGCGCACACACACACACACACACACACACACACACACAAAAAAAATACTTTGTCATTGTAAACAGTTTATTTAGGGTAAAATAGACCAAACACAGACATTTAAAACCATTTCAGTATATCATATACTTATGAGTTAAACAAGCATTTAAGAGTGTAAATTCTAGGTTTCAGCAGTAGATCTGTGCCTAGTGCTTGTAGCGTCATCATAAAAAAACAACAACAAAAAAAAAAAAACATTTATTCTCCAATATTTGACCCCACAAGATATGGTCTTGGCTGTGTAATGAACACCCAGAGATTAGTTAGTCTTTGGAGATTTTTCCCTTTCATGGCGGTGAGGCAGCCGCTTCATCTGCAGCACTTTAACCCCCTCTGCAGGAGACCAGGTAAACAGCATCTTCCAGTGAATGATTTCCTGTATCGGCACAAAAAAAATGTCAGATCAGCGAGATCTCTGGATGCAAAAATGTGGCTCAGATTGAATAGCAAAGTTTAGCACAAGTGCAGATCAGTAAAGTGGATGTTTAATTTACTCCAACACACCACAAGTACCAAATCGATTAGGATGATAAAAAGTGTCTTATTTTAGCATTTCAGGCTTTTTAAAGACATTTTTTAGCCAAGTGTCTACCTGGGACACCATTTCATGCAGCAGTGTGTGACAGTCAAACTCCAGCTGGTCCTCCTCAGTTGTCTGTAGGAAACAAAAAGAGTCCAGTAGGAATTTTAAAGGCTTAATACATTTGTTTATATGGCCGACATAACCTGTCTTGTTTTACCACATGAAGGACTTTTATTGACAATCTGTATGTATTCAGTAAATCGTGCAGACATGGGGCTTAAAGGGGGGGGATGATCAATTTCTTATCATATGCTCATATTTAAATTTTTGTGAAGCACCTACCAGCTGAGTGATGTTGGCCACCTGAGCCATGTTGTACAGAGTGTTTTCAGTGGATTCATTCAGCATGATGAAGCTGGAGGCCAGAATGCCCAGATGCCAAAAAGGCTTCATGTCGGGCTCGATGTGACCGTGGCTGTCTGAGGGAAGTTTAGAGTTCTCAGTTACGTCTCATCTCTCAAGCATCCTGTGTTCATGATGACAGCACTTCTGTTGTCAATGTTTAGAGGAACACCGCAGCACCGACAGTGTTGAAATGTCTGAACGCAACTGTTGTGCAATATCTGACTTTCAGTGTTGATGGGGTGGAACTGCAGTAGCTTGCACAGTTAAGCCTGTTTTATTGGACTTACCTGGCAAGTACTGTGCAGACATCAGGGTTTGGTTGGTCTTGTATTTTTGGTATAGAGCCTCTTCTTGAACTTTAATGTCAATTTTAAGGAGCTCCTCACACGAGGCATTGACTTCAGGTGGCTGTTGCCCTTTTCCTTTTGGAAAGAAAAGCTCTGCAGAGCAAGTCCGTGTAGTCTGAAGGAGTTAAATAAAACAAAGTTAGCAAAAAACGAATAGTAAAGGCATTCTTAGTGAGCAAGAAATGGGAGTAGATGTAGCCCAGATGAGTCAAGGTTGCACCACACCATCATACAAGCTAACATAAGCCTCCTTTTATAGGCTGTTTAGTCATTCTTGTCAGACCTGCTCACACTAAAGCCAGACGCTGTGAGATTGTTTACCATACCTAAGATTTATTTGTAGGATCTTTCAACAGGCAGCAGCAAACACAGATAACTCTGTGTTTGGGAGTGGATGAAGACATTTATTCAGATTACCTCCACCCTATTTAGAGGTTGATCATTATTCTTTGTGGTTCTTAAGAAACTGCAGCTGCACCCCCCCTCCCTCCCCTCCCTTCCCTCCTCTCCCTCCTCCACCATTATGTCTTCTTTCCTCACATTGTGGTTAAAAGAAAAAGAGAAAAAAGAAAGTCCTACGTTGCTTATGATATCATTCACCGAGAGCTCCAGCTGATACTTTCTTCCGGAGTCTGCCACATCCTGAAAGAAAAATTGGAAATTCAAGTTTATTTATTTACAGTGACATATTCACATATTTCAGTGTTGAAGTTCAGCTGACCTCCGCGTTCCCACTGTGGACCGTCTGCACTCCGATCAGTCTGAATGGTGAACCGTACCGGGTGTTGAGGTAGTGTTGGACCACCTGAGCTGCCCTCGTGGCAGGGTAGTGATTTGGGTTCAGCTCGCCAGTTGCCATCACATCCTCCTCGGCTCCCTCCTCTGTCCGTGCCTTTATCTGTGGGTGGAAAGTGGAGGGAGAGTGAATGAGAACAGAAGATGGTTATTGTGCAGGGCTTCCAGTTCCTGGAGGACTTTGATCTTTAGGTGTGACCAGCTATGTAGACAAACACAGCTTTGCACACAACAGCCACTGAGCAAAACAGGAAAGAAACCATGTGTTTTCTTACAGGGTGAAGTGGTACGCAGCTGTGAAGTGTCCCAAACTGAATTAAAGTGGGGAGTGAATCTCTGCCAACTGGAATGTTATTTTCCCCCACAGTTGGTGTTCCGAGTCAGCTGCTCCTCGCGCAAATGGAAAGATAACTTCCCACTTCCTCTGACAGTAGAGTTCACTGAGGACTGCCCCTTTTTAAAGAGACAGAGCCCTTTTAACACTTCCTCCCGACTTTTTTTAAAAAAGCAGCGCTTTACAGCAAACAGACCTCTGCAAATGTTTGCAACTTAGTAAAGTAGGTCAAATTTGGTTATATAGTAATGGAGAGTTTCAGCTTCAGTTAAAATATGAAGGAAATGTTCACATTTTAGTGGATAGAGCTGGATATTAAGTATACTTGGTATTGGTAAAATCTTATATTTGGAGTAAATTAAAGATCCCCAACAGACATATTTATAAATACAATTTCATCAATCATCAGAAGTACTGAGTAGTTAAAGTTACATCTCATCTTTCCTCATTAAAACAGCCTAGGATATGCAAATACTTTGTTATAAACCCAAAATAAAACTGTTTAAACATTGCAGTACTTAAACCTACTTTAGTTTCTTAAGAGTATTCTTGGTTATGTTGGTTCTTTGATTTGATTGGTGCATACATTTGGATCATCTATTTTCTGTTGTGTTGCTCTATGTTAACAAGTGGTCCCCCCACTCTCTTGTAGATTTGACTTCACCCATAAGAAGCAGAGTGGCGGCTCCGGGCAATATGGTAAAGTCATCGGGGTCCTCGAGCCTCTCGAGTCAGACCATTACACCAAACTGGAGTTTGAAGATCAAACTGTTGGAACCAACATCCCAAAGCAGTTTGTGCCAGCTGTTGAAAAGGCATGCAAACATTTTCAGAATAAGTTTTAAACACAAGTGGAAGCTATTCCAAATTTAAAGTCTCGATTTTCTCCCTCCTTCCCCCATCGTGCTGCAGGGCTTCAAGGACGCCTGTGAGAAGGGCCCTCTGAGCGGGCACAAGATCTCAGGAGTCAAATTCCTCCTGGAAGACGGAGCGCACCACATGGTCGACTCCAATGAGATCTCCTTTATCCGCGCAGGAGAGGGCGCTCTAAAACAAGGTGAGGACGCCCTTCTGTTTGTTTGTTTTTTCCATTTGTGTCCGATTCAGCTGAAAAATATCTGGTATATGTTGCCGCTGGGTTCACCGTTCTCCACAGCTATGGAAAAGGCCAACACAGTGATCCTGGAGCCAATCATGTCTGTGGAAGTCGTTGCACCCCAGGAGTTTCAAGGAGCCGTCATTGCTGGAGTAAACCGCCGCCACGGCGTCATCACAGGACAGGATGGGGGTGAAGGATACTTCACTCTTTATGCTGATGTAAGTCCAGTAAATATAAACATACAGTGCTCATCTCCAGTTTCACCCGCTTTCTCGTCCTCCTTTAACTCAAATGTCATCCTGTTTGGTCCAACAGATCCCACTAAATGACATGTTTGGTTACGCCACAGAGCTGCGCTCTTGTACTGAGGTAAGTTCAAAAACATACAAAACCTGACAGTCAGGTAATGTTGAGGAATGAGTTCAATTAAAGTTTGTTTTTTAAATGATATCATAGACCATATGCAAGGTGTTTAATATGAGGTAAAGCCTCCTGTGGATGTGGTGAAAGTGGTCACCCGTCTGTGCAAAGACTGTATAAGTATTCAATCTGTTGTCAAAGAACTGCCCTCCGTTTTTGGACGTTTGCAGTGGTTGCATTTGCCTCTGATAAGCATGCTGATCCTGCATGTCCCAGTCATCCTCGACAGGAAACATGTTA